AAATTTCTAGATGCATTAGATGTGGCCACTGCAAAGGAGGCTAATGAAGCACCAAAGGTAAAGCTTAAACCCCTTCCAACACATCAAGGAAGGGTTTCCCCTGTGTTTGTAGTACCTAAGAAAGGGGCGGTGACTATTGTCAAGAATAAGAATGGTGAGCTTATCTCCACTGCAATGGCAAGTATTGATTATGGGTAACCTGTAATCCATGTGTTGCGTCAAGCTAATGACGTTAAAGAAGCGCTTCCGGGAAGCAACCCGAGACCCAGTCAATGAGATACTTTTCTCTTTCCCTTTTTGCCTTCTAGGTAGTCTCTCGATGCCTGACATTGAGGACAATGTCTATACTAGCTTGGGGGGGTGAATGGTTTCCTTGTTGATTTTCCCTTGTTTTTCTTCATATTCCTATAAAAAATAAAAAAACGAGTTTCTTTTGGTTTCGTTTTGGTTTGTTTCTATCTAACCTGTGCAGATATGAAGACTCATGGAGGTAGCATTAGGAGCTTCGCCGCATCTCATGTTGTCTTAGTGTGTTTTCAAGAAGCATTTGGTGAAATCTTTCCCTTTTTCCTTTAGTTTTTTTTGTTTTTGTGTGCTTAGGATAGTTTAGTTTAGGAAGAAGTTGAATGGTTCGAGGATGTTTGATCGGTTCTAAAGAACCTGGGATCATTGATGTTGATATCAATTGATCACTTGTTTGTCGATTGGGATTATTATGTGATTTTCATGCCTCTTTATGAGCCATTTAGCTTGTTTAGATTACTTAGTTGTTTATATATGTGTGCAATATAAGAAAAGATTATGTTATGAGAATGTGTAGTCTAGTTTATATGATTTGCCTCATAGTCTTTTCCTATATTTTTGGATCGTGATAAACTTCTCTAATTGCATAAACTTTTGGAATAATGCTAATGTGAATGAATGTGTGTGGAATATCTATTTCTACTTAAGCCAGTGATGAATACACAGTTTGAGTCTATTGTTGATCAATGTAGACGAGTCTAGGCGAAGGTAGTTGGTTAGAATACTTTTGTCATGTGAAACTCTATGCCTTTGGGCTGTGGTAAGATGGAGTCGCTTCCCATTTGTGGATTTGATCCCCTTAATTGGTAGTTGCTTTGTTTTTGAATCCCGTGAGGTTTTATTGTTCTAGCCTTCATCATTCTTCTTGAGTGGCATATTTGGATCCTTGATTACGCATGTTTCGATCTTTGTGTTGACTTGTAGCTCCCAAGACCGACTTGACACTTTTAAGGGAGGAAGAGGGCACCTTTTTCATTTTTCTTATTCTTGTTCCTTTTGTTTTGTTACAAATTAATTTTCTTTTTACATCATCTTACTTGCTAACCATGTTGAGCCTTTAATTCCATTCTTGGTTACCCATGTTACAAACCCGATGGCCAATGTTTTACCAACCCTTAGTTGTGAAGCGTTTACCTCGCAAGGTTTGTTTGAGCTTATTGTGTATAAATCAAGAATAATGATCGATAGTTGGTTTGAGCAAGTTTTAAAGTGAGCTTAATTGTAAAGATGTAATATGAAAATTTGTTTTTGAAAAAAAAGAAGAAAAAAAAATAAAAGAAAATCAAAATAAAAAAAAAAGGAGAAAAGCCATCCGAATTGTGAAAAAGGCGAGGACATATGAATAAAAGCTTTGAAGTTTGAAAAAAGTGATTTGAGTGTGTATAACATAGAGAGTTTGGGATGTGTAAAAGTGTGATCAATGTTTATTGTGGAATGTGAATTGCATCTCTTGAGCTTTGTTTTTGAGAATCGTGATTCTTGCGCTTCATGTAGGATTTAACTCCACATTTTAAATTGTTTTCACCACCTTACCCATTGCCAATACATTACAACCTTTTAAGACCCTTAGACTTTAGAGGTGTTCGGTTTTCAAACGGTGGAGGGAGATACCTTTCAACCCTATGGAAAGATTATGCGTAATCGAGATGTCGGGATACCTTTGTTATTTCCTCAAAATATCACTTTTTCCGGTTCCTTCGAGGAATCACGATGGGCCAATTAGGGTGGTGATTTGAAGCAAAAGGGGAGGACGTGGCCGGTTTGGTTGGGTTAAGAGGGAAGCATGACTTCTTTGTTCTCTATGCTTGGTTTAGGTTTTGTTTGCATTTTGATCAACGATACCTTGAATTGTGTGTCTCGTTGCTTGTTTGAGTGAGTTTTCATTCCGTGCATGGTTGTTCTAAGTAGGATCCATTGACTTCATTCCATGCTAAATTGGATTTATATGTAATGGCAATAGTTTATTTGATCCTGTGTGTGTGTATCCCTTAGTTTTGCTCGAGGACTAGCAAAAGTGTAGCTTGGGGGATTTTGACAAGCGCACATTAGGGCGCGCTTTAAGGCATATAAATGGGTGATTTTGGACGTATTTAGGCCCGTTTTGGTCGTTTATTGCCTTGTTACACTCGTTTCCTTCATATTACGTGCTTCACGGGTTTCGGTCTGTTTTTGGTGTGTTAATAGGTATAGTTGACCAAGTTATGTCGAGTCCCAAACCATTGGTGCGTAATCAGGCTATTATCGATCCTAGTCCACCAAGCTAAGGCTTTGCTGCGGTTCTGAAGGCCTTGAAAGGCAAGTTAAGTAGCAGGAAAGGCAGAACAGTTCAAAAATATGACACCTGTTCACTATATTGCTCATAACTTTCTATATACAAATGATAATGGAGTGATTCTAATTGCATTAGAAAGTAGACTTGAAGAGCTTTCCAACGATATATTGCACACCTCAAACGAAGCTCTAGATAAGAAGTTGTGACTATTTTAAGAATACCAAAGTGCCTGCAACCTTCCTGCCTATGCTTGCACGGCCGTGCCAGGCATTAGCACGGTCGTGCCAAATTCAGCACGGCCCTGCCATTTTCCAGATTCAGCACGGCCGTGCCAGGCATTAGCACGGCCGTGCCAAATTCAGCACGGCCGTGCCAAAATTGAATATATTGCGGATCAGCTACTGCCATGCTTGCACGGCCGTGCCACTTCTAGCACGGCTGTGCTGATTAACGAAGGGCAGCCTGCACAATTTCTTTCTAAATTAAAACATATATATATATATATATATAACCCTATGGTGAGGGTTAAGAGGAGACGGATTTAGAGAGATTTAGAGATAGTTTTTGAGAGCTTTTGTAGAGAGTTATTGGAGAACGTTCTTAGTATTAGAGATTCATTAGTTTTCTTAGAGATTATTCTAGCGATTTTAGTTTTCTTGGATTGATTTGAAGCAAGATTTGCGAAGGTTCTTTGTATTATTCATTGACGACGGATATCAAAGTTCTGAACTTTTCCATTGATTCGCATCAATACAATTGGTATTATTCATTCTTGTTTATTAATCAAGCTTTATTATTCCTTAATCAGAATTCATGTTTATATTTATTATGCTTTTGGAATTCATTATTGCTTTGATTATGAATATGTGTGAGTAGTCTCCTAGCTAGGGTTTCGGGATGAAACCCGGCCTAGGTAACCTATGTAATTGAGGATTGATTTTGATAAACGGATTGTGATTAAATTGATTATATGCGATTGCATGTTAATTCATTATAATAGGAGTAGCTAACCTAGAATCTTGAATTTGATTGCATGATTTCCTTGATTTGAACAAGAGATTGTGAATTGAGTATTTCATTGTTGAATGTGGTTTGATTATGTATCGAGTAAAAATGTTAAGTGCATGAGAAATCCAAGCTTAATATTGCCCGTTGTCTTCCTACCTCATGATATTGATCAGACATATAGTCTTTGCATATCCCGTTTGTCTCTGTGATTCCTTGTTGCGTAGTTACCGATGGTTTGGTGAATTCCCGTCTTCCCTAGTGTCTTAGTTTATCTGGTTTATCCCATCTTATTATTAGTATTTTAGAACACCATTTTCCATTGATTTCGAACTAGCTTAGGTTTAAGATTGATTTGCAATTACTCTCGTTCCTCGTGGACCGAACCTTTATTTTCCATTGTACTTGGTTATAGGGTGTTCGTATAAGTATTGTTTGATTGAGAGTTAGATTGTAGCGACCGATTTAACCCTCGTCACATGCTCCCTTCTCACTCAAGAATTTCATAGCATAAACCTGTTAGTCATAAATCAAAGCTAAAGGCAAAAGTTAAACTTATATGGGTTTGCTTAGGTTTCTTGAGTCATCATCAAAACATAAGATCAACAAAGCGTATGATTCGTCTTATGATTTCATGAAGATTCCGTCATTATGTGACCAAAATACGGAAATAAATCCAATTCACATGTCATGTCAGGGGAGACGCGCGCAACAACGTGAGTTGCGCGCGGCTGTCGCGCGCATGTGAATTAGTGGCACACACCACCTGTTGGTAAACTTTCCTTTAAGCCGAATTTTTCGAATATTTGCCCCTCTTGGGTCTTTTTAAACGTGGTTTCATGTAGGCTTTTGATCATCTCGCATTAATTCTCTTAGTAATATAAGAAACTAAAAAGAATTAATCTCTCTAAATTCTCATTCTCTCTTTTTTTTTGAACAATGGTAAAGACCTTTGAACAACGTTTGAAGCAATGGGTCACTTCTCTTTCAATCGAGGACAAACTAGCTTTCAAAATTTACCACCTAGACCCTCTATTGAATTATATGCAACTAGTGGTTAACTTTGATTTTCTTCATGCCGCAGTCAACCATTGGGACTCTAATCACCATCTTTTCTTATTTAAAGGGGAAGAAATTGTCTCCCTTCCCGGTGAGTTTGAGGCCTTGCTAGGTTTCCCTACAAATACTCTCCCTGTGACTTATTCGCCTACCTTGTTGGATCCCACACTACTACAAAAATGCTTAAAGAGACCCAAAATAAGAGACCCGTTAATCAAATAACTGGTCTCTTTGTTTTAAGAGACCCAATGTTACAAATAACCGGTCTCTTTGATATTGTGTTATGAGATAAAAATTTAACGGAGACCATTTATTGTAGATAATAGGTCTCTCATAGTTTGTTTTTTTTTTAAATATAACAGGGGTAGACCTATATGTAACTTAACCGGTCTCTCGTAACTATTTTTATTTTAAAATTGAAAAGGGAGAGACCTCTATGCAACATAACCGGTCTCTCTTAGTTTTTTTTTTTTTTTTGAAATAAAAAACCGGAGAGACCAGTATGTGAGTTTACCGGTCTCCCTTACTAAAAAAAATTAAATAAATGGAACCCTAAGCTAACACTTCACTATGCTAATTCCGCCTCCAACTTTCAATCTCCATCTCCTTCATCTTCCTTTTCCTCTCCTTCTCTCTCCTCCCTTTCCTTTAAACGAATTTCCTTCACCTTCAACTTTCCCAGATCGTCGAATTCAAGATCTCAAAAGAGCGATTAAGGCAATACACAAGAAAATACAGGGGAAAAAACGTACGTTTTCTCTTAATTGTGTTCTTGAATCTAGTATGCTCTAAAATTCTCCATTGAAGCGGCTTTTCATCTTTCTCTCCTCCATTGAAGCAGCTTCTAAGGTTTGATTTTTTATATTTTATTTCTATTTTTTTGTTTTGGTTTTTTAATCGTCGAATTCCAATTTTACAATCTAGTGTTAAATCGATGATTTTGTTTGATTTAGGGTTCTTCTAAGATCGATTGAATATTGAACTATTTGTTATGATTTGATTACTAAGAATTTTAACTTGTAATTTCGTTGCTAGAATTTTGATTTGATTATTGAGTCTGGTTGATAATGTGTTGTATGGTTTTGGTTGTTATATATTAGAATGGAGTATGAAAATTGAATTTTTATCGCCGGATCTGAGGATTTGAATGTTTGATCAATTTTTTTTTTCGATTTTTGGATTGTTTTGTTTGTGTTTATTTTCGAATTATTGATTTTATGGATTTCAGTGAATGTTAGGCTTCTTAATTTCTAAGTTGTTGTGATATGGTGAACAAGTAAATAAATTTCTGTTTGGATTGTTGTCTTGAGGGAAGAAGATGAAGATTGAAATTGAAGAGATATGGGTTTGAATTGCTGGGGTTAGATCGAACGGGGTCGCCGGCGGGGCTGATGGCAGGGGGATTAGGGGAGGGGGTTGTTCAATGGCAGGGGAGGTTTTTTTTTTTTTGTTTTTTTGTTTTTTATCAATGAGTTAATCTTTTTATTTTATTAGTTTATTTTTTCAGTTAAGTTTTCTAAATGAATGTTTAATTTTGGGATTTGTTAAACATCGCCCGCGTTTTTCTACATAAAGCCCACATTTTTTAAAAATGTTGACATTATTGCCCTTGTTTTAATTTTTACCGAAAATAAAATTTTTCACTCATAAAAAATGTGGAGCAGGACTGGATCGCCGAGTGAAACCGAAGAGCCCTCAACGTCGGGTAGATGCACCGGAGAGACGCCGTTGACGCCGGAAAAGGAGGTACGAAGCCATCTAAAACCACGAATTGGCGGCTGGCGTCCTGCCGGGACGCCGTGACCGTAGTGGTGGCGCCTAGCCAGGACGCCGCCACCGTGGCTCTGGCGCCTGGCCAGGACGCCGCCACCGTGGCCGTGGCGTTTGGCCAAGACGCCGCCGCCACGGTGGCGGCGTCCTGGCCAGGCGCCACCGCCACGGTGGCGGCGTCCTGGCTAGACGCCACCGCCACGGTGGCGGCGTCCTGGCTAGGCGCCACCACTATTTTTTTTTTTTTTTTTTTAATTTAATTTAAAATTTGTTTATTTTTTTTTTTGTGTTACAATTTTTTTCTTTTTTTTTTGGTTTTTTTTTTGTTTTGTTTTTAATTGTTTTAATTTGTTTTTGTTTTTAATTTATTTATTTTTTATTATTTTTTTTACAATTTTTTTCGTTTTATGTTTTTTTTTTGTTTTTATTTTTTTGGTTTATTTTTATTTATTTAATCTAAAGTTTTGTTTATGTTTTTTATTTTTGTGTTTTGTTTTTTTTTTTTTTGAATACTTTTTGTTTATTTCTTTGTTTGTTGTTTATAATTTATTATTGTTTTTGCTTTTGTGCTAATGTTGTGTCAAATGTATTAATTTAATCTACTCTTATGTGATTATATTTATATGTTATTGTTGCAGGATTATGGTGGAGACGGAAATGATTATAGTGGGATTTTTGTACACGATGGTCTGTTCGAAGATGCTCAACAAGCGGTTGATTGGGCGAAACAGGTTGCAATTAGATCAGGTTTTTGTTTAGTAGTAGCAACTCATAAATCTCAACGGGATGGTAGAATGGATCGCATTTTGAGATGCGACCGTTATCGCAAAAGGGAGGAACGAGATTTCAGTCAAGCGATTCGGTTTGATACAAAGCGGAAAGGTTGTGGGTGTCAGTTCAGAGTAAAGGTTCGACAACAGCAAAGGGGTGACGGTTGGGAAGTGAAGAGTTACGGTAAATGGGGGTATCACAACCATGAGATGATCGCATATGAAGTGGGTCATCGACAGTTAAGTGGCCTAAGTCCTGCTGCGAAACTAATTGTAAAAGAAATGAGTGATGCTCAAGTGAAGCCTGCTAAAATATTAGCATCTGTGTTGGAGAAATTTCCTGAAGACCAGCCAAACCGAAGACACATCTACAACGTCAGACATAAATTGAGGTTTGAACGGTCAGAGGGAAGGAACCCTATACAGCAGCTTCTACACCAGGCACAAGCACGTGGTTACCTGTACTGGTTTGAATCTGATGAAGACACATCGGAGGTGACTCATTTGTTCCTTGTGCATCCTGATTGTGCTGATATGATTTCGTCTTGACCATCTGTGATTCTGATCGATTCAACGTACAAGACAAACAAGTATAAGTTTCCACTGGTTGAGATGGTTGGGATGACTCCAACGAACCAGAACTTTTTGATTGGTTATGCAGTTATGAAGGATGAGACGGTTGCGAGTTACCGTTGGGTGTTGGAGAAGTTGAGAAATTACATCGGCCCAAGTGTTCAGCCATCGGCCATCGTCAGCGATTGTGAGGGAGGTCTCTTTGTCCCTATAGCGGAGCTGTTTCCGGAGTCGAGCCATTTACTGTGCACATGGCACATCAACAAATGCGTGAAAGTCAAAGCCTACAACCTTTTCAACAAGAACTTAGATTCAGCAGAGAGATTGGTAAATGGTAAGTGGCGGAAGATCCTGCAAGCTACCACGGAGGCAGAGTACGACCGAGCCTTGGATAACTTCAAGGATGCATACCAATGGTGCCCGGCAATCGTAGACTATGTGATGCAGCAGTGGGTGCCTCAGAGGGAAAAGTTTGTCAAATATTGGACAAACCAAGTTCTTCATTTTGGAAACACTACTACATGTAGAGTTGAGAGCGCTCATAGAGCTCTGAAGGACTGGATTGATTCTTCCACCTCTGCTCTGGATACACTGTTCGAGAGAATAAACAAGGCTATTGATACTCAGAGGAACGGCATCAAGAACTCTCTCGAGGACTCCAGACGGCGACATGGCACGATGTATAGCCATTTCATATTTAAGATTCTCCATGGTCGTGTGTCACACTACTGCTTGGGGTTGATTCTGAGCGAGCACACCAGGATGAGGGAGTTGGGTGATGAAGTGGCTATTCGGTGCGGATGTGCTATATCGGTGACTCATGGACTACCTTGTGCATGCACCATTCACCGCGTAATTACGCAAGATAGGGCGTCGTTACATGTTGATCAGGTTCATCCATTCTGGCGGACGCTCGTTATCGGAGAGCATGCTGTTCCACAGACAGTCAACCGTGAACAGGAGGAGTTGGAGCAGTTTCGTTCGATGTTTGACCAAGTGTCCTCCAGCCACCCTTCAGTCATTCGTAGTGCTACCCACGTACTTCATGACATGTTCAACTCGTCGTGCTTGGATCATGAGGAACCTGAGGGGGTCGAGCGACCACGGGGCCGACAACCACGGCGGGAAAGGAGTGCGTTTGAGTACATTCGTGGTCGTGGTCGTGGTCGTGGCCGTGGTCGTACATCGTCATCAAGTGGTAGTCAAACATCTTCGTCGGTGAATATGCCCGGCACCGGTACGGTACTTTAGTTTAATTTACTTTTTAGAGTGTTTGTTTAGTTTTCTGCTAACTTGTTAATTGTGTTTTTTGATGTGTGCAACAGGCAGAATGGACATTGAACATTTTCCATATAAAGACAGGATCCCTAACATCATGATGCCGTTCCTGGACGGGTGGAATGATGTGGTTGCAGATGGTAACTGTGGATTTCGGGTTGTGGCTGATGTGTTTCAGATGGGTGAAGACAACTACGGTTTAGTGCGTCAGTTGATGTACAGTGAAATCGCCTCAAACCGAGCTGTTTATCGCCACGTGTACGGACAGGACTTGGATAGGTCTCTGCAGCGTATCCGGTGGGGAGGAGGACGTTGCGGTCAAAATCATTGGTTCGACGCGCCCCTTGATCTCTTCGCCGTTGCAAACATCTACAAGTGTGCAGTGATGCATTTCGGCCTTGGTTTGCATGGTCGAGCTTACTATCCGTGTACCACGGTTCTGCCTTGGTGTTCGCGTGAGACCGTCACCAGACCGGTAAGAGAGGTTGCTATTGGATTTCTGGGGCCGTCATACAGACATTTCATCCGACTGGACCTGTCACCCGATTTTCCGGTCCCACCGATTATACCAACGTGGTACACCATTCGTACAGCAAGCGTAGAGGGCTGGGATGCGTTATATCATGACCGGGTGCAGCAGTGGAACAATCTAGTTGCCTTTTCTATGTGACCTAATATTGCTATTGCTATGTTTTTCCCATTTATTTAATTTTCGGATTCTAATTTTCGTATTTAGTTTTCCCATTTAAATGTGAACCTGTATTTAGTTTTCGTATGCCCACTAATTACAACTTAAAATAAAAGTTATAAAAACTAAAAATATAATGTCAAATTCTAAGAACTTAAAATAATAATTATAAGAACAGATAATGTTAACTTTTACAAACAACTAGGAAAATGTTTTATAAATGCACTGCCGACATATCAATAATCTCTCTGTGACGCCCACTGCCACTGCTCAAGGGCCCGTTCCAGTTCATCAATAACAGCTCTGCCTGTTGCAGTCGTCATGTTGTCCCTCTCCTCAAAAAGTCTGTGTCCCAACTGCGTCATCTTTCCCATCCACTACACATAACAAAACACATAAAATTCAATAACGACGTATTATGAGACGTATTATATGAAAAAAAACACAACTACAAATGTTTTATGAGACGTACCGCATCCACGGCAGTGGGCGGTGGCACATCATCATCATCGGCGTCGTCGCCGTGGTGGACGTCTCTGATCAACCTCGGGTGCGAGTGCCGGTTGTACCACTCCATGTAGTGCTGGTCACACATGGCAGCCACCCCAGTTGGCGGCCGCTGCAACTGCTCAATCCATATGCGGGCAACCATCGGAAACTGCTCCCACGTGCCAATCATGCTTGCCGGCCATTGGACGACGTACTCCTTCAACGACGCAGATCGGACGGCCTTACTGGGCCATGCTGGTGGAGGAGGAACAACTTGGACATATCCAAGCTGGCGAAGACAGCGCTGCGGCATGTACGCCTCTACGATCTCACGATACTGAATCAGTCCCGTGTAGAGGGTCCTGGGTACCCTATTACTAGGGTTCTGGCCGAAAGGCATCCAGTTCACCTGCACATTTTTTAAAATTAGTAAGATTCATACAATAAACACATCAAACTATAAAAGTAGAAATAATTTAAACACTTTACCTCTAATGGGGACATCCTGTCAAGCAATAACCGTATCGATCGCAGGCGGTCAATGGACTTCTTCTCGACACGCGGACTCCACGCACAGGCACGTGGCTGGCCATCCCCAATAGGAACCGGGTCGCGGTGTGGTCGAAACGCCGGGAAATACTCGTATATCCACGTCTGTAACAACGTCATACATCCAGTGATACCTGCCGCATCAGCCCGGCTCGAGAATCCTAACTGGCGATACATGTACGCTAATGTAGCCGACCCCCAAGAAAACTGGCCTACTCTGTCGGGCTCACACGCGTCAACTATGTCGCGTGGCCTGAGCTTGTTTCCGCTCTTATCCGGAAACAAGGTACACCCGAGAAGAAGAAAAACATATGCAGCCAGCTGTGTGTCCTGCGTCCTACGTGAAGTGGGGTGCAAACATCGCTGCAAAACTGCTGCGATCTTAACACCGCCGTGATCCCACACACCAAGTGCCGCTGTGTACAGCGCAGCCCTATCCACCGCCAACAGCTCCGCCAATAAATCTGCCTGATCCGCATCTGTGACAACAGATGCTCGGTTTCCCTCTACGGGAATCCCAAGGATGGCCTCGACGTCATGCAACATGATCGTCATCTCACCGAACGGAAGGTGGAAAGAGTTCGTGTCCGGCTGCCATCGCTCAACGAAAGCCGTGATCAGCGTCGAGTCAATCCTCTCATGCATGGTGGCAGGAAGGTGGCTCACTCTAGTGGCCCTCAATCGGCCGACCATCTCGCTCTCCTCCGGCCAAGCCTCAGCCCAACTACACAAGAAGTTACAAGTCCTCTCCCGGGTTTGGCATTTCAAAATGCCGCTATCCAAAGCCCGCTCTTGGTCCTCCCAAATACGGGTAGCGATGTGTCCTAGAAAGCTAGGAATCACACTCCCGTCTATAGGTCCCCCAGCCACCTCGCCCCTCACCACCCAAGAATCATTAACGGCCCTCGACCGTTTTCTGCTAACCGCAGACACAGTGGACGCAGATGATGTGCCAGATCTACTAACAAATCTACCATCTCTACCCTTACGCACGTCTACCCTACGCGTCTCATACACATCATCAAGCCTCTGACTGAATGGACCGTAATCATCATATGGTCCACTCTGATCGTCCACATCCTCATCTGCATCCTCCTCCTCCTCCTCCTCATCACCATCATCATCTTCATCATCCTCAGAATAGTGCACCCGTTCTCTACGAGCCGAGGCCGAAATACCACGGGATCTAACGTGTCTGGGCCCCGAGCTCTCCATTGAGTTCATCGTACTTCTCATAATGTCCATACTCTTCCCAGCCCCAGAACGAAAATACGATGCCTAACACAAAATAACAAAACATGTAATATGCAATATAAACATGTAATATAAACATAAAAAAAGTAATTAAAATAAATAAATAAAACAATATACATATGATGGAAAATAAATTAAAAACATTACAAAATATTAACAACCTAAAAATAAAAAAATTAATAACCTAATAAATAAATAAATAAAAAATTGGAAAAAACAAAGCAAAAAAAAAAATTACCCAAAAAAAACAAATTGGAAAAAACAAAGTGAAAAATATAAAATTATAAAAACTTAAAAAAAGAAGAACATCAAAATTTTAAAAAAAATTTATAACAAAAAAAAGGGAACATAAAATTTTTTTTAAGTAAAAAAACTAATTCAAAAAAAAAAAAAAAAACAAGAACAATAAACAAGAACATAAAATTAAAAATTAAAAAAAAAAAAAGAGGAACATAAAATTTTTTTTAAAAAAAACCAACAAAATTTAAAACAAAATAAAAAAAAAATCAGAAACATAAAATTTAAAATTAAAAAAAAGAAAAACAAATTTAAAAAAAAATCAAAAAAAAAATAATTATTTTCGAAAATTAAATTTCAAATTTAAAACCAAAAAAAAATTAAAAAAAAAAAAATAAAAAGGCGGCGGCGCCTGGGCCAGACGCCACCGCCACCGTCACGGCGTCTGGCCTAGGCGCCGCCGCCGTGGTAGTGGCGTCTGGGCTAGACGCCGCCGCCGTGGTGGTGGCGTCTGGCCTAGGCGCCGCCACCGCCTCCGACCTTTTTTTTTTAATTTTTAAACACAAAATTAATAAAAAATACCTTCTCGCCGGAAAACCGCTGTCCACCCGCCGCCTGTGCCGCCACTTCCTTGCCGGGCCGCCTCGACATCGCTCGGAAAGTTTTTTAGAGAGAGAAAGTGGAAGTAGAGAATTGAGAGAAGAAATTGTGTTTTTTACTTTGAGGGCAAAAGTGACAATTCACTCTAATTTTGTGGGCTTTATGTGGAGATTCGCGGGCGATGTTTAGCAATTGAGTTAATTTTGTGGTTATTCTCAATTATTATGATTGCATATTGTGTGCTTTTATCTTTGACAGATATGCTAGTTTTCACACAAGATCTTGAAACAAAGGAGAGAGGAAGAAATTGGAGTACTTAAGAGACATGTTTGACATAATTTTACGTATAGATTACAAGATTTGATGTATTATAATTTTAGTGGAATTTAATTAAAGTTTGTTAAATTTCTTTGTATCATAGTTAAACATTAATGTGGCATTGTTATTCTCTTTTAGTACTATTGATTTAAATATCGCATAAATCAAATTAAATATGCTATTTTTTTTTATTTTAAATGCGACATAAGAGACCTGTTAAGTTAAATAGGCAGTCTCAACTTTCACAAAAAAGAGACTACCTATATTAAATAGGCGGTCGGTATCTTTTTTTCACAAAAAAGAGACTGTCTATCTTAGATAAGCGGTCTCAGTTTTCTCAATTTAGACCGCCTTTATAAAGCAGTCTCTTTGCCAAAGAGACCGCTGAGCTAGAGACCTCCTCTAAGGCAGTCTCTTTGGCTAATTTGGACGGGTCTCTTTGGCTAATTTTGTAGTAGTGCCAAACCTATATTCCAAAGATTTTTTGGCTTGTCCGACAATGATATGACCAACATTGGAACTGAAGAAGGCGTGAACTTCATTCATTTTATTAAACATTTCGTCGCCCCCTCATGACAACATGACTAAACAACGCTTTAAAATTCGCTCTTTATGCTATTGTCTTGTTGTTAATTGTTGAATTAGGACAGGCAAAGAATACAAAGATTGTTCCATGGTGTCCATAGTAGAGCAAATAGAGGGATGTCATTCACTCGCTCCTTTGGTTTTGGCAAAAACCGTTCTATGTTTGAATTGCCTTAGAGGAGACCCTAACGAAAACGGTTTCACGGGAAGTCCACTCCTATTACTCGTACGCTTTTTTTTTGGCGTTTATCAGCGTAAGTTACAAAGTTGCGCTGGCATGACCAGCGCAATCTTCTTTGCTGCGCGCGAAGGGCGCGCACAACTGGTTTGGTTGCATGCCCACCTGCTTGTGTAAAAATCGCAAAATGATTTATTTTTTTCAGATTTGGCTCATGGAGCGCTTGCAAATTATTGATCAGCCACAAAACCTTTAGGCTAATGGAGTAAGGACATTCCCTGGACGTCGAATCCTTTATAAGCATAAGAACGAAGAGGAATGGACGTCGTTTTTCTATCATGGGGTTCCTAACATACATTTTGTGATTCCTTGGTGGAACATAAATGGTATGGTTGGGAATAGTGTCAATTGCCCTTACATTAGGCTTTTAGGCCTATCTAGTACGACTTATATTTTTCCTTGTAGGGTAATGAGACAATACGGGGTGAAACAATTTATTTCCCCGCATGATTGTGATGCCCCAAAAGATGTGACTTTTATACCCGAAAGAATTCCTCGTTGGATGGAATATTGGTCAAGTGTTCCTAGGTGGGTAATACAAAATCCTACCGCGAGTATTGCATTATCTTCCTTTTACAAAGCTTGGATGAATGTGGCAGATAAAGGTGAATTAAACAAGGCTCGATCTCAACTTCAAGCCGCCACCGCTCGTAATCCACCTAAGCCTTTGATGCATTCAACCACTAATACTTCTCCTAGTGGCCAAAACAAAGGAGTGAGAAGAAAATTAGACTTCTCATACCCTAAGGCTCATTCGAAGGAAACAAAAAAGGAAAGTTCCCTCCAAACCCGCGCAACAAGGTGTGAAAATCAAAGAACCTTCACCCAATACTCGCAAGAAAGCTCCAATAGTCAAAGGGGAAGGAAAACAAGTTGCAAAGGCCCCAATCCCTAAATTGAAAAACAATGTTTGGGTGAAAAAGAAGAGTTTTAGGGGAGTGCTCAAAGGCTTCTGAAAATATTGGGATGGAAACTACTCCCCAATCCTCTGTGACAATCGAGGACATAGTAAAACCTTAGAGTGTTACACAATTTTATCATTAGTTTATTTCGAATAAAGTGTAATCACTACTATGTTTTTTTTTTCGTTTACAATCTAGTTCAACAATGTCTCTCTTTTGAAATTTGAATGAAATAAAAACGAGCTTTATATTTTTATATTTTGATATGACCGAATCATAAAGATTGCCTACGTATTCGCATTACGAAATCAGGTCTTTGCGTAGTTATAACGTGTTTGTGTTTTTTTTTTATTATGTATTATTTTTTTTATTTTTCTTTAATCTCTTAGGTAGAAATTAAATGAAAAACTAATCAAACCTTGTTTAAAAAGAATTAAATCAAAGTTTATTTTTATTTTTTGAGTATATGTTATATTTAAGAAAAACCCTCTTTTTGTCGCAAGTAGAAGTCGCAACATCCTTCAAACGTAAAAATTCAGGTTCGCAATTCGTCATCAGGTTGCGCGCAACAACTGTAGTTGGGCGAACCTGTCGCGCACAACGAAATCTGTTGCGCGTGACACCTGTGCTGCGAATGTCTCAAATTTTTTTTTAAAATTCTGTACTATTACCCCCCCCCCCCAAGTGTGAAGATTTTTTTGTGATGTTCGAAAAAATTTGAACATTTAGAACGGATTGTTATTTCTAAATTACCCCCCCAAGTGTTATGTATTTTACCGTGTTATTCGGTAAAATGCATAACACTTAGAATCTTTCAATTGAATGCTAATTAAAATTGGTTGTATGAGTGAACGAGTTTATTCGGATTTCATATGTAATATTTCTTAAGTCGATCAATGTTTATTAATTGGCGAATTTCATCTCCTCCAATATACATTAATCTGATGGCTCCTCCTGATAGGATTTCAATTACACGATAGGGACCTATCAAATTAGGTTTGAATTTCCCTTTTGGATCGATTTGTGGACCCCTAACCTCCGTTAGTACAAAGTCACCTTCTTTTATATTTCTAGGTTTGACTCTTTTATTGAAATGACGCGCAATGCGCCTTTGGTAGACTTGTACATGATGCAAAGCTCTTAATCGTTGTTCATCGAGGAATAAAATCTCTTCATACCTCGCTCTTACCCATTCAGCTTCTGATAGCTTACTTTCAAGTACGATGCGTAGGGTTGGTATTTCCAGTTCGGCTGGTTGAAATGCGTCCATTCCGAAAACTAAAGAGTATGGAGTTACTCTTATTGATGTTCGTATAGACATTCTATAACTCCATAATGCGAAGTGTAGTTTATTCAGCCAGTCTTTATAATTTTCTGCCATTTTCTTAATGATGACTGTTATATTTTTATTTTCCGAATCTACAGCTCCATTCATTTGAGGTCTATATGGGGATGGGTGATGATGTTTTACTTTATAACGAGTTAAGAGGGTCTCAACTTCAGCTTTGAATTGAGATCCCTGATCACTAATTAGTTCATGTGGAACTCCATATCTACAAAATATGTTTCGTTCGAGAAACTTTGCGACATGTTTAGAAGTGATATTCACGTAAGAAGCAGCCTCAATCCACTTAGTGAAGTAATCGATGGCTACTAATACGTACTCGTGCCCTCTTGCTCCTGTTGGAGAGATTTTTCCTATTATGTCAATTTCCCAAGTTGAAAAAGGCCAAGGGGAAGTGAGATTGTATAGTTCGGATGGTGGAAGGTGTTGTAAATTAGCGAACATTTGGCACTCTAGAAATTTTTTAACATATTGTATGCAATCATGTTCCATAGTGGACCAATAGTACCCTTGTCGTGAAAATATTTTTTAAAGCATTTTACCATTCATGTGAGGTCCACAAACACCTTTGTGGAGTATTTTTCATAAGGCGTATGGCTTGCGGTTGGCCTATACATAATAAACTTTGACCATTAGATCCTTTTTTGCATAATTGACCATTTAATAGACCATATTGGGCCGCAAGTGTTCCTAAGGCTCGTTGGTCTTTCGATGAAGTATTTTCGGGATATGTGCCATGAGTAATATATTGGAGGATATGATCAAACCAAGGATTGTCTCCTTCGATGTCATTTATTTCCTCTATTGCGTTGCAATACGCTGGTTCTTCTCTTCTATCAACGCAATATGGCATCATATTTAAGTGATTTGGAATGTTGATCATTGAGGCTAATTTTGCTAGAGCATCGGCAAATTGATTGTCGTCCCTTGGGAGATATTTAAAATTAATATGTTCAAAATGCTCGATGAGTTGCTCTAGGTGTGCTTGGTATAATATCATTGTGGAGTTCTTTATTTTCCATTTTTTAGTATATGATTTATAATCAAACTGGAGTCTCCATATACCTCTAATTTTTGCACACCTATGCTAGCTGCTGTTTCTAGTCCAATAATGCACGCTTCACATTCTGCGGTATTATTAGTAACCTCAAAGTCTAGTTTAACAAAGATTGGAGTATGTTCTCCCTCCAGAATTATGAGTAATACTCCTACGCCACATCCGTTTTGATTGGACGCACCTTCGAAGTACATTACCCATTTGTCATCTTGTGTCATGAGAATCTCTTTATCCGAAAGATGAGTAGTTTTTGCACGACTTGTTTAAATTGGATGTTGTGCTAGAAAGTCGAAAATTACTTTTCCTTTCATTGATTTTTCAGGAATATATTTTAACTCAAATTCGGCCAACATCACCCACCACTTAGATATCCTTCTTTGTATGGGTGGTTGTTCAAACAAATACTTTATCGGATTTTGTTGATAAATCACATGAGTAGTGTGTGGCAACATATAATATCGTAATTTTTTTATTGCCCACACTAATGTTAGGCTTGTATTTTCCAAGGTGATGTAATATATTGCACGCTCGACTTTTTCTACCTCTTATGCTAACATGGCGCCTGTGGCTGTGTCTGTAATTGTAATGTATAGCCTAAGAGGTAGTTTGGGTACTGGTGGTGCTAAACTTGGTGGACTTTTGAGATAATCTTTGATTTTCTCAAAGGCCTTTTGGCATTGATTGTCCCATTCATGTTTCTCCTCTTTTTTCAATTTTTTAAATATTGGCTCACAATTCATAGTCAATTTGTTGATAAATCGACTAATGTATTGTAGTTTGCCAAGGAATCCCCTAATTTCTTTTTCTGTTTAAGGGGGATGCATGTCAATAATTGCCTTTATTTTAGAGGGATCGATCTTGATGCCACGTGTGCTTACTACGTATCCGAGTAACTTACCAGAAGTTACTTCGAAGGCGCATTTTTGTGGATTCAATCGCATTTTGTATTCTTTTATACGAGTGAAAAATTTGTGTAAAGCTTCTATATGTCCCATTCTATCTTTGTACTT